TCCCTACGCGACCTGCTACCGGGCAGTACGGAGCCAGGAATCGGGGAGCACGGAGCCAGGAATTGGGGAGTACGGAGCCAGGAATCGGGGAGCGCAGAACCAGGAATCGGGGCGCACGGAGCCAGGAATCGGGGAGCGCAGAACCAGGAATCGGGGCGCACGGAGCCAGGAATCGGGGAGCGCAGAACCAGGAATCGGGGCGCACGGAGCCAGGAATCGGGGAGCGCAGAACCAGGAATCGGGGCGCACGGAGCCAGGAATCGGGGAGCGCAGAACCAGGAATCGGGGCGCACGGAGCCAGGAATCGGGGAGCGCAGAACCAGGAATCGGGGCGCACGGAGCCAGGAATCGGGGAGCGCAGAACCAGGAATCGGGGCGCACGGAGCCAGGAATCGGGGAGCGCAGAACCAGGAATCGGGGCGCACGGAGCCAGGAATCGGGGAGCGCAGAACCAGGAATCGGGGCGCACGGAGCCAGGAATCGGGGAGCGCAGAACCAGGAATCGGGGCGCACGGAGCCAGGAATCGGGGAGCGCAGAACCAGGAATCGGGGCGCACGGAGCCAGGAATCGGGGAGCGCAGAACCAGGAATCGGGGCGCACGGAGCCAGGAATCGGGGAGCGCAGAACCAGGAATCGGGGCGCACGGAGCCAGGAATCGGGGAGCGCAGAACCAGGAATCGGGGCGCACGGAGCCAGGAATCGGGGAGCGCAGAACCAGGAATCGGGGCGCACGGAGCCAGGAATCGGGGAGCGCAGAACCAGGAATCGGGGCGCACGGAGCCAGGAATCGGGGAGCGCAGAACCAGGAATCGGGGCGCACGGAGCCAGGAATCGGGGAGCGCAGAACCAGGAATCGGGGCGCACGGAGCCAGGAATCGGGGAGCGCAGAACCAGGAATCGGGGCGCACGGAGCCAGGAATCGGGGAGCGCAGAACCAGGAATCGGGGCGCACGGAGCCAGGAATCGGGGAGCGCAGAACCAGGAATCGGGGCGCACGGAGCCAGGAATCGGGGAGCGCAGAACCAGGAATCGGGGCGCACGGAGCCAGGAATCGGGGAGCGCAGAACCAGGAATCGGGGCGCACGGAGCCAGGAATCGGGGAGCGCAGAACCAGGAATCGGGGCGCACGGAGCCAGGAATCGGGGAGCGCAGAACCAGGAATCGGGGCGCACGGAGCCAGGAATCGGGGAGCGCAGAACCAGGAATCGGGGCGCACGGAGCCAGGAATCGGGGAGCGCAGAACCAGGAATCGGGGCGCACGGAGCCAGGAATCGGGGAGCGCAGAACCAGGAATCGGGGCGCACGGAGCCAGGAATCGGGGAGCGCAGAACCAGGAATCGGGGCGCACGGAGCCAGGAATCGGGGAGCGCAGAACCAGGAATCGGGGCGCACGGAGCCAGGAATCGGGGAGCGCAGAACCAGGAATCGGGGCGCACGGAGCCAGGAATCGGGGAGCGCAGAACCAGGAATCGGGGCGCACGGAGCCAGGAATCGGGGAGCGCAGAACCAGGAATCGGGGCGCACGGAGCCAGGAATCGGGGAGCGCAGAACCAGGAATCGGGGCGCACGGAGCCAGGAATCGGGGAGCGCAGAACCAGGAATCGGGGCGCACGGAGCCAGGAATCGGGGAGCGCAGAACCAGGAATCGGGGCGCACGGAGCCAGGAATCGGGGAGCGCAGAACCAGGAATCGGGGCGCACGGAGCCAGGAATCGGGGAGCGCAGAACCAGGAATCGGGGCGCACGGAGCCAGGAATCGGGGAGCGCAGAACCAGGAATCGGGGCGCACGGAGCCAGGAATCGGGGAGCGCAGAACCAGGAATCGGGGCGCACGGAGCCAGGAATCGGGGAGCGCAGAACCAGGAATCGGGGCGCACGGAGCCAGGAATCGGGGAGCGCAGAACCAGGAATCGGGGCGCACGGAGCCAGGAATCGGGGAGCGCAGAACCAGGAATCGGGGCGCACGGAGCCAGGAATCGGGGAGCGCAGAACCAGGAATCGGGGCGCACGGAGCCAGGAATCGGGGAGCGCAGAACCAGGAATCGGGGCGCACGGAGCCAGGAATCGGGGAGCGCAGAACCAGGAATCGGGGCGCACGGAGCCAGGAATCGGGGAGCGCAGAACCAGGAATCGGGGCGCACGGAGCCAGGAATCGGGGAGCGCAGAACCAGGAATCGGGGCGCACGGAGCCAGGAATCGGGGAGCGCAGAACCAGGAATCGGGGCGCACGGAGCCAGGAATCGGGGAGCGCAGAACCAGGAATCGGGGCGCACGGAGCCAGGAATCGGGGAGCGCAGAACCAGGAATCGGGGCGCACGGAGCCAGGAATCGGGGAGCGCAGAACCAGGAATCGGGGCGCACGGAGCCAGGAATCGGGGAGCGCAGAACCAGGAATCGGGGCGCACGGAGCCAGGAATCGGGGAGCGCAGAACCAGGAATCGGGGCGCACGGAGCCAGGAATCGGGGAGCGCAGAACCAGGAATCGGGGCGCACGGAGCCAGGAATCGGGGAGCGCAGAACCAGGAATCGGGGCGCACGGAGCCAGGAATCGGGGAGCGCAGAACCAGGAATCGGGGCGCACGGAGCCAGGAATCGGGGAGCGCAGAACCAGGAATCGGGGCGCACGGAGCCAGGAATCGGGGAGCGCAGAACCAGGAATCGGGGCGCACGGAGCCAGGAATCGGGGAGCGCAGAACCAGGAATCGGGGCGCACGGAGCCAGGAATCGGGGAGCGCAGAACCAGGAATCGGGGCGCACGGAGCCAGGAATCGGG